AACCACACAAACACACACCATCATAACTTACATCTAACGCATAAATACTCGACTTGTAGGTAGGACACAAAATCCTTCTGGCATGGATGATGGTCCACCAAAGATCTAACACTGACAGAGCAGTACGGCAAGCCACTGCACATATTATCGACGTACGTTTTTATATCTTTGGTGCATCCTATATCTTTGTTTCCGGTTATGCATCTTCCGGTTTTCATGCGGCCGAAGTAGGCAGACTTGATTAAGATGATTGGTGATGATGATGACGACGACGATGATGTTGTTGTTGCTGTAGCTGATGATGATGGTGATGATGATGATGATAATGATGGCGGTGATGATGATGATGCTGGTGGTGGTAGTGATGATGAGGATTTTTCTTCGCATGTGACGTTGAAGATTTCATTCAGGCAGTATTCACGTATTAGCGGATGATCTGGTGTATTGGTTTGAATGTGTTTATATGGAATTTTATATTCATTTGTTTACTTTTGAATTACAATCCGCGCACGCACACACACACACACACACACACACACATATATATATATATATAAATCGATTTGTAAAGATATATCATTTGTATGTAGATGTAAATGTGTTTGCATGTATGCGTGTGTACGTGTGTGTGTGTGTGTGTGTGTGTATGTGTGTGTGTGTTTGTTCATATGTTTGTGTACATTTATCTCGATGACCGGTACAGCAAATGGCAGTTAATTTTGAATGGTGGTGTTTTTTTTATCTATTTCAACTGCTATATTTATTAATATTATCTTTATAATAATAATATTAATAATAATTCAATTCAATTCAATAATGAGTTTATTCAGCAAAAAGCTAGGAGACCCGAAGATATGACTTGTTGGGCCACCATAAAATTTGCACCAAAAATTATAAATAGAAAAGAAATGTTTACATTTCACAATGAAATAATGATAGTTCTATAAATAAGAAAAAATAAAATTAATTGAATTATTTAAATATTAATAAACCATAATAATTGTTATTATTATTATTATTATAATGGAATATATTTGCACGCAACATTTTTATTGTTTTGAGAATATTTTTTTAAAAGTTTTTACTCATCTGAATTTTTATTTTTGAAAATCTATTTATGTAGTTGCTCTTGCTAATTACTACTACTGGTACTACTACTAATACTACTACTACTACTACTACTACTACTACTACTACTACTACTACTACTACTGCTACTACTACTGCCACTACTGCTACTACTACTACTACTACTACTACTACTTCTACTACTACTTCTACTACTTCTACTACTACTACTACTTATACTAGTAATAATATTAATTATTATCATTATATAATTTATAAAAATATTTATAAATTATCAGTAACAAACTTTTTAAATTCTTCTCCATGGTTATTAAATAACTCTGAACGCTGTAATATAACATGCGAAACGAAGATAAATGTTACAAAACGAACTCAACTTAAATACACTTGTTTAACCATAATTAAGAACACGCACATCACACACACACACACAAACAAACAGATGTAAACACATATACACACAAACAAACAAACAAACGAACAAACAAGCAAAGGCACCTAAACACACACACACACACACACACATTAAATATTTACGGACTATATTAAAAAAACTATAGATAATGGAACACTAACGCGGTTTGTGGTCGAATGAAAATTTACAATTGCAGATATGAATTTTGATATGTGGTAGCTGTAAACTGTATAGCAAACGAAATTATTTTTAAATAATTATTATTCCATTAAATTATTCAACCAGTTCATCGAAAACGATTTTTTTTATTTTGTAATCAAAATTTGTAATTTTTTCGTCAAAGTTTTCTTCTTTCTATAATGAATTAAATTAGTTTCGAAATTATTCTCGCTAAATTTAATTATTGTTTATGACTATAAATGCTTATTCTGTGAAACTTATATCTAAGTAGTACTTGGAAAAATTATATCTCTGGCCATAAAACTCAATTTGAGCGGGCAATATCGTAACTCGAGATGCGAGATCTAACATAAAAACACTTTTCAGATTCAGATCAGAAATATTTTATAATTACAAAACTGACGCGACTAACGAAGCTGGATTTATTTAAATCTAAAGGAATAAAACTACGTCTAAAAAATGAAATAAATTAAATTTTTTTTATGGTCGATTAATAATGTTTGATGAGATTTAAAATGTACCATCGAATGAGAAACTAAAATAGCAATAGCGAATCATAAAACATTCGGAAACGCTAAAAAGCAACTTAAATTCCCAGTTTCTTTTTAACATCAGCGCAGTCATCGGAGAATTTGCAGCAGTAGAGGAATGGACGTATCTTATTCCAAAAGTGGTCGAACTTCTTCTCAGTGTCAGCATAAGACAAATAACTTTCATCCTGGTTCAACTGACCATTGTATCCGTAGCAGCATTTCGAATATTTCGTCTGGTAGTACGGATAGCCGAAGTTATTATAGTAGGGATTTGAACTGGATTGGAAGCATTCCGAAATGTTTGGTTTCAGCAAGTTGCACATGTAACGCTTGTAAGGATTGCAATCCTGATCCGGTAGCAAGATTGTGACGGAAGTTGTCTGGTTGATGGATTTTGGACACGATCCGTAGAAGTCGTTATAACTGTTGAAACTGTTGTAGTTGCTCAGTTGTTGGTAGTTTGAGGTGGATTTCCAATAACTGCACATCGTTTGGCCTTTTACATGTTTCTTGCTCAGGAACACCTCGAAGGTCTTCTCGTTGTAACTCAGTAGAATCCTGACAGCATCAGGAATAGGCTCGGAGCTTGGAAGGAACCGCATCGGGAAGTAGTTGGAAGCACTTAAGGTGACAGGCAAACGAATGTAAACATCGTTACTGTCCAATCGGTAGGAATCGTCCATCGTGTTGTGGTAGATGTTCTGCTGAACACCTCGCACCAAAACTTCACTCAAATGGTTGATCACATTTTCTTGCGTAAGGGGTAGTTTCACGCTGCCAACCAGGTTATTCATGTCATCGACAAATATGTAATGTTGCGATTCGTTTCTAACGTCTCTAACGTTTAGCACCGCAGAATACTGAAAATATTTGTACTTCACCTCCACGTCCAACTTGCCTATTTCGTCAAAATACGGCGTTCGACAGATGATGATGAAGTTTGATTCCACGGAGCACTGGACAGCTGTGTTGTTCATGAGGACATCAGTTTCATCCGTCCCCTCATCGAAACAGAGCCCTTCAAATATAACTTCCTGCTGACCAAAGTACAAGACAGATTCTGGACGAACGGTCAAAACATTGTTCACCAGGTTCAAACTGACCGAACATTTTTCATTCACTTTGAAGACGATGATGTCGGTAGTAAAGTTCGTTATAACATTTTTGCTGTTCATCACATTTCCATGAATTATGCCAACATTGCTCAGAGTGTATGCGTCTTTATCTTGTATAAAAAGCATGTAGGAGGCTGCCCCGTTTGTCGTGTAGGCTATCTGATAGAGAATCCTTGCAGGACAGAGACCATCTCTGTTGCAAGAATCCTGACCAGTGTTTTGAGAAACTACGGTGATCAAGAACATCCAACTACTTTTGAAAGTGCCACAAACTTCAGAGGCCTCGCACAAAATTTTGTCAATATTCGCCAGGACACCTGGTTCAGTTGACTCCCTGAAGAACGTGTATCGCTGACCCGTCGGACCTGTTCCATTGAAACTGACGGAGTAATTGTTCTCACTTCCCCTTTTGAAGTACATCAAATTCTCATTCCTCACGATCACAAAGCTGGAAATCTGATCGAAAAACAAAAACTTTCTGGACGTAGTCAGGTTGACGTTGCCGTCTCGGGACAGCTGATCGCCGACATCAAATCCATGAGGAAGAAATGAGGCCCCTGAAGCTGAGGAGGCGAGTATTTGAGCCACTGTCGCCACAATCGCTATGACATCTGATTCGAGGTAAGAATAAAGGAAAAGTTGTTTAAAAATGTTGATGATGTTATATTCGTTAACATGTGTGGAAGTTAGAAATACAAATATTTTTTGCTATAATTTTTAACAAGTTAGTGAATAAAAAGTCTAACCTGTTGTTTTAATGAACATTTATTCAGTTATTTTAAACTGTGGATCCAAAGAATGATTCGCACAAATAAATTTTTACGCTTATCAAATTTGATCCTCAAAAACAAATTTAAGTAAAACTTAACTTCTTAGTGTTGAAACATTCACCACGCAATAACTGAACAAAATCTCACTTTAAATGAACTCATTCGAAACCGATGTGAGAAATTTTCATTCACAGGTAACTTGCAAGCAACCAAGCAATAAATTACTCTATGAATATAACATTAATGTAACAGTTGTTATATTCATAATACGCAGTAAATAGCACAGCGACCACTTGGTAGTAAAATAATCATCTTGTCGTTAGAACATTTTTATACCCGAGCCAGTCAATGAATACGATTTAATGTTTTAGTGTTAGAAACTGGGATATATCAGTTTTATTATTACTTTTGGTAAGATTCTTAATACTGTTGTAATATTTTCTATCTCTTTCTTCCTCTCTCTCTCCTTTTTTTTTTCTCTCTTACGATTTAATGAGTTACTGTAAGCAATTTTTAATTTTATATATTTTATTAAAAGATGAATATTATTATATTCTCTCTCTCTTTCTCTCTCTCTCTCTCTCTCTCTCTCTCTCTTTCTCTCTCTCTTTCTTTCTCGTTTGCCCTAATTTGAAATTACGCGTTACAGTTAATGTTAACTGCATTCAATTTTTTATAGTTATGAAGAATTCTTATCCCAATTTTGAAGCATATTTATTTGGTTTATTATTGTATGATAATTTAGGATAGTTATTTTGATTGTGCTTGTGTGTGTGTGTGTGCGTGTGTGTGTATCTATGCGTAAACATACATCCATATATATGATGAATTCTATTATAATCTAGAAGCGGCGTCATGTGAAGATATCATGATTAGAGTATGTATGTGTGTTTGTGTCTTTGTACCTGTGTGTGCGTGTGTGTGCGTATATATATATATATTTATATATATATATATATATACACTACAAGACATACAGTCTTATTCGGTCTCCGCATATACAACTTCATAATTTTTATTCACTTAGTTGACATGTTGTTGATTATGAATAAACTTTGAAACTTTGAAAATGTGTGTGTATGTGTTTGTGTTTGTGTGTGTGTGTATTCGTGTGTGTGTATTTGTTTGTGTGACATAGTTTTTAAGTCTAGCTATCTATAAAAATTGCAAAACGACAAAATATTGTTGTTTTGTTAAATTTTCAGTTGAAATAAAAAATATAAATAAAAAAATAAATAATAATGATAATAAAAAAAAGATCATGAAAAAATCTGAGTTAATGTAATAAAACCGGAAAAACCGAGAGAAGGAAAATTTTTTTATGCCGCCAAAAAAATGTTGTATGTAATAAGTAGGTTTGATCATCTAGTTTAATGCTATGTGTGTGTGTGTGTGTGTGTGTGTGTGTGTGTGTGCGCGTCCGTGGGTGTATGTGTGCGTGTATGTGTGTGTAAGAAAAGTTTATATTTATTTCCATTTATGTCTATAATATTATTAAAATATTTCTTTAAAACTAACAAAAAATAAGAGACTTTTTTTACTATCAAAAGTTACTGTTGCAGATACCTATCGTGTTTGTAACAGTTTTCTGAATCTTTTTCTCTCTTTCTCTCTCTCTCTTTTTCTTTCGCTCTCTCTATCTTTCTCTCAGTCTCTCTCTTTCTCATTCACTTTAGAAAACATTGTGAAACCAAGAAACCCAAAACCAAAACAATGAAACTTTTTTTCCTTCAAATTATCGATTCGGCGTGACGAGTTTAGGAAAAATGTTTCAATGAAAACAAAGAAAATTTCGTATTTCTTAAAACATCTATAATTATAAAAATAGCGAAATAATAATAAGTAAAAAATAATAATAATAATAATAATAATCAATATATTAAAATTTGAATCAAAAATTTGTTTCAACTTGGCATTGGTTTCGTGTATTTATTTAACTTTAAATCTCTATAATTTTCTTACGGACTCTCTCTGTTTGTCTGTGTGAATGTTTTTCTGTATGTTTGTCTGCCTGCCTGCCTCTCTTTTTTTTTCTTCTCTCTCTTTCTCTTTCTCTCTCTCTCTCTCTCTCTTTCCTCTCTCAGTTTTTACGTTGTTGAGTCAATATTATATTAAGCGAGATTTTATTGTCCAACAAACTCAACTCATAAATTTTGTTTAAATAACGGAAGAATAAAAAGTAAAAATTTATTTTTCAGATAAAAAAACCAATCGCAGTATATGTTAATTGTTTGTTCTATCTACCAACACAACCGTTATAACATTTTGTCCATATATAAATTGAAATCAATTTTTATAAAAATAATATGACCAAAAACGGCTGCGAAGAGAGTAATTTTTAATAAATAACTCTTATAATTTATATTTTGAGTTTTTTCCTGACATCGTCACAGGAGTTGTCAGTAAATTTACAGCAATACAAGAATGGTCTTATCTTTTTCCAGAAATGTTCGAAATTTCCATATAACTCGCTAAAAGATGGGTAACTTTCGCTCGAGCTCAGCTTGCCATCCAATCCATAGCAGCACTTGGAGTGGAAATTTTCATACATGCCGGTGTGCATGTTGTAACGGCGGTCCGAGTTTTGTTGTCTGAAACATGTAGATATATTTGGTTTCAACATGTCGCACATTAATTCTTTATTGAAGTTACAATCTCGATCTGGCGTCAGATTGGAAGTCTTGTCAACTGAGTTCGGACAGTAGTTGTTATAAATGTTGTAGTTGTTGTAGTCAAGTTGTTGGTAGTTCGGTTTAGACTTCCAAAAATTGCACATACTTTTGCCAGCTATGCGTTTCTTGCTCAGGAATACCTCCACTATGTTTTTGTTGTAACTCAGTAGAATCCTGACAGCATCAGGAATGGACTCGGAGCTTGGAAGGAACCGCATCGGGAAGTAGTTGGAAGCACTTGAGGTGACAGGCAAACGAATGTAAACATCGTTACTGTCCAATCGGTAGGAATCGTCCACCGTGTTGTGGTAGATGTTCTGCTGGACACCCTGCACCAAAACTTCACTCGAATTGTCGATCACATCTTTATGAGAAAGAGGTAATTTCACGCTGCCAATTAATTTATTTAGGTCGTCAACGAATATGTAATGTTGCGATTCGTAACTGACATCCCTGACATTCAACTCAGCTGAATACTGAAAATAAGTGGACTTGACCTCAATTTTGTATTTGCCGATATCGTCAAAGTATGGCGTTCGACAGATGATGATAAAGTCGGATTCAACGAAACATTTTATAGAAGAATTGTTTATAAGAACGTCAACCTCGCTCGTCCCCTTATCAAAGCAGAGGCCCTCCATGCTGACCTCCTGCTGGCCGAAGTACAAGACGGATGCTGGATGGATCTTCAGACTGCCGTTTATCCGGTTCAAACTAACTGAGCAGTGCTCATTAACTTTGAATATTATATAGTCGGTGGAAATATTTGTCGAAAATGTTCTGCTTTTTTGCCCATTTCCGTGGTTCACAAGGACGCTGCTTAGAGTGTATGCGCTTTTGTTTTGTGCGAAGATTACGTAAGAAACAGCACCGTTCGTTGTATATGCGATTTGATAGAGAGCTTTCGCAGGGCAGAGTCCAGTTCTGTCGCACAGTTTTTCATCAATGTCCTGTGAAACTACCGTGACTAAGAACATCCAACTACTTTTAAAAGTGCCACAAACTTCAGATGTAATGCAAAAAATTTTGTCAATGCTTGCCAAGTCACCTGGTTCAGTTGACTCCCTGAAGAACGTGTAACGCTGACCCGTCGGACCTGTTCCATTGAAACTGACGGAGTAATTGTTCTCACTTCCCCTTTTGAAGTACATCAAATTTCCATTTTCTAAAAATATTGCTGTTGAAATCTGATCGTGGAACAAAAATTTCTTGGAAGTAGTTAGTGAGATGTTTCTTTCCCTGAACAGCTGGTCGTCGTTGTCGAAGCCATAAGGAAGAAATGAAGTTAGGGACGATGTGAAGGATATGCGTGAAAGAATCACAATGAGCAAACAAATGGAATTCAAACGAAAATTCTTTTCTATAAAAACATAAAAAATTATTATTCCAACTATATTGGAGGATCTAGCAGAAAATTATAAAAATTTGGGAAAATAATAACCAAATATGTCGTTGAGCATCATCTCCTCGCTCTTCTCTGAACATTCAAACAACAAATTTGAATTCAATACACTTTCAGGCGCAAACTTGGCATCAAAAACAAGACCGTCAAGCTATTTTATCTTACGATCTACAGCTACGTACAAGTTCTTGCACTTTGCACGTGAAACCGAAATTTGAAATAACCAACTTTCTATAAATAGAACAAAGAGCAGACAGCTTAATTAATTTAATTAATTACCCACTTGACAAATCAACAACAGTTAAATAGCTGGTAACAAAAATATAATTGCACACACACACACACACACACACAAAGAGAGAGAGAGAGAGAGAGAAAGAGAGAGAGAGACTTGACTGTGACAACGTTTTTGCTTATTCGTCACACAATTATAGTTACTTATGAGAGCTATCAAGAAAGAACTAGTGCTTGCTTCGTAACTGTATGTTATAGCAAACTGTTATAGCATTATTTCTGTATAATACCAATATGATAATATCATATATATGTATATATATAAGAATTAGATATATATATAAGAATAGAATATAGATAATACTAATAAATAAATTGGATAATGCCATAATACATGTGATTGAGTCTACTTAGTAATTATACTTTGAGATAGGAATGGGCAAACTACGGCCAGGCTTTGTTCGCCAAAAAAAAAGGCCATCAGCCAGAAATTATGATCAAAAAAAAGCCAGAAATCTTTAAAATATTCTCCCCAGAGTCGTAAAATTTGCTATTTATGTACATATGCGGCCCTTCAAGGGTGAAATACTTTTCAATGCGGCCCTCACAGCAAAACGTTTGGCCACTCCTGCTTTGAGATGTTTTTTATTTCTTTATTTATCTAGTCGCCAGCATCTCTCAAGCTCTCTCGCTTTCTTACATTAATTATTATCTTCATTTGTGGTTTTATTCCTTTCAAGCTTTCATTCATTCATTCATGTATGTGTGTGTTTGTTTGTTTGTATGTACGTACGTATGTATGTATGTATGTGTGTGTGTATGTGTGTGTATGAATGTATGTATGTACATTTGTGTGAATGAATGTATGCATGTGTGTATGCGTGTATTAACGACGTATTTTTGTATTTTGCCTTTATGATTTACTGTTATTATATGCTTACTTTTTTTTATATGCGTCGGGATATGAGAATAAATGTTTTTTTTAGTTCCGTATTTTGTGTTTGTATTTATATGTGTGTTTGTATGTGTATACGTGTGTGTGTTTGTGTGTATGCACGTGTGTGTGTGTTTGTACGTGTGTGTGTGTGAGTGTATGAATACGGGTGTGTGTGTGTGTGTGTGTGTGGATGTTTTTCTGTTGGTGTAGTTTTCCATTTAAACTCTTGAACTAGAAACATCTTGTATATGCAAAAAATATTATTCCTAAAAGTTTTATTACATATCCAGAGAGTGTTATTAGTGTGTATTGAGATCTATTTATTCTTTCCGAAGTGCTCTGCTAATTAAATTTTTTCAACTTGAAGAAAAAAAGATTCGGTGCCATATGTTTAATGTATGTGTGTGTTTGTGTGTGTGTGTTTGTGTGTGCTTATGTGTGTGTGTGTGTGTGTGTGTGTGTGTGAGTGTGTACAAGAGTATGCAATGAGAATAAACATACTTATATATTTTTCAATTGCACTTCGTTGTGTATTTTATTTTTGTATTTCGTTGTATTTTGTGGTATTTTTTTTATTTTAAAGGAATCCTTTTAGAAATTTTTTTCATATACAAAAAAGTTCTCCCATTCTTCATCAGGCAAAAGCAATCATTCCATTGAAGTTAAATCATTCAGAATTTTAGCATTGAAAAGATTTTTAACTCGTTGAAACTTATTCTAAATGTATTGAAAGGTATTTTAAGTCATTGGAAGGTATTTAAATGCTTTTTTTTAATATAAAGTGGTAGCAGGTGTCGTATTGTCGTTTTTGTGGCTGCTGTTGCTGCTGCTGTAGCGTTGAAATGATTTTGTGTTAATTAGTTTAGCTGCGTGAAATGTAGATGCTAGCTTTGGTATAGGGGTGTGGTATGTTGGATTTTAATGTCTTTTTCTGTCTCTCTCTCTCTCTCTGTCTCTCTCTCTTTCTCTCTCGCTCTCTCTTTAATTTTAGTCACACATTTTAAAATACAACACACACGCACGCATCATGAATTCAATAGATTTTTTAAAAAATTTCCCGCTTTTTCTTTGGTCAATATGCTGCTAACATTTTTAAGAAGACAAAATGCGATGTCTATAAGAGTAATGTTTTGTATTTATGA